GAGGACTAGGACTTGTCTGTCTTCATCACTGGATCCCATATCTCCAATGCCTAGAACAGAGCTGCCACATAATAACTTCTCAATACAAATTTGAAGAATAAATCATTTAATCATGGAGAAGAGGTATCATCTAAAATTCTAGCATTATTTACATTGGGGTCTGAAAGATAACTTTGGTTTGTCTATTTGAGTAAGACAGTTATATAATGCTCTAAGACTTCACAACACTTCAAATAAAATAACAAGTTCACAAGGCACAAACTGAGAAATTCCTTTTCAAATAAGTTTTTAAATACTCAGAATTAACTTTTAACTAATACCCTCTGCAATTATATTCATCTTAAAATTGATAAGGTTCTCTTAATTTTTAACCATTTTAAAATTGTTATCAGTCATTTAATTAACAAATACTTATTGCTTCCCAACTTTGTAAGGGCATTATGGATAATTAACCAAAGATCTTGCCCTGACAAAGCTTAGAAATCAATAGTATGGCATGATCACATCGCTTCTCGGCCTTTTGGCTAAGATCAAGTGTAGAATGGCATGATCACAGTTGTACTCTAGGAGGATTAACTTCATCTCAGTATTTTAGTGGACTGGAGGCAGAGAGACCAGTTAGAAGGCTATTACAGTAATTAGTTTGAGACAGAGATTTATGGAGGGTTTGACTTAGGATAGTGAATGATTACAATAAATAAATATAAAATAAAAAATAACATAAGACAGAAATGGCAAATGCTCTATGCTTTTACATCTTTTAAGAGTTTCTCACGGAAGGGAACCTGGGTGGGTGGCTCAGTTGGTTGAACATCTGACTCTTGATTTCAGCTCAGGTCATCATCCCAGGGTTTTGGAATTGAGCCCTGTGTCAAGCTCAGTGCTAAGCATGGAGCCTGCTTCGGATTCTCCCTCTCTCTCTCTCTCTTTCTGTCCCTCCCCTCCACTCATGCACTCTAATAAAAAGTTTCTCATGGAATATTATCAGTGCTGAAACACTGTTACTTTCTTAATTATAGGTGAAGGACAACCTGGGTGAACAAATGTTTTCATCCTTGCATATAACATTATGAAGTGGTGACCTATTGTCATATTACAGGTGAATAATTTGTCAGATCAGACAAAAATATCTGAGTAATAAGAGCTATACTTTTGTACCTAAATCTTACCACCAGCACTAACTGGTTAACTATAACATCTGGATTTTAGCCCGGATTTCTAAAATCAAACACTAACAGCTCAAAAAACGAAGTACATAACTACATTTCTCAAACTAAACTGGGAGGACTAGACTATTCCTGAGGAATATTTGAAAAGTCTGTATTTTCATTTTGATAATATGTGTTAAATAGTGTACTCTGGATCATCTGAATAACCACCTCATACTCACAATCAATGGTACTAGAATTAGGGTGGTCTAAAAAAAAATGCACAGGGGCGCCTGGGTGGCGCAGTCGGTTAAGCGTCCGACTTCAGCCAGGTCACGATCTCGCGGTCAGTGAGTTCGAGCCCCGCGTCAGGCTCTGGGCTGATGGCTCAGAGCCTGGACCCTGTTTCCGATTCTGTCTCCCTCTCTCTCTGCCCCTCCCCCGTTCATGCTCTGTCTCTCACTGTCCCAAAAATAAATAAACGTTGAAAAAAAAAATTTAAAAAAAAAATGCACAGAAGGGTCTTACAAGGTAAATGATATATTTATGCTAAGTAAAAGCCAAACCATCTGTGATTTAAGGAGGAAAGCTTTACAGCATTCAAACAGAGAAAAGTGGTATATCACAGGATATACAGTATATAGAAAACTGCACACCTTGCCAAGGCGGGCAATAGTATATTCACTATGCAAAGAAAGAGTTTGTTTCAGCAAAACAACATCATCCAGGGGCACCTGGGTGGCTCAGTCAGTTAAGCGACTGACTTTGGCTCAGGTCATGATCTCATGGCTTGTGAGTTCGAGCCCTGCGTCAGGCTCTGTGCTGACAGCTCAGAGCCTGGAGCCTGCTTCAGATTCTGTGTCTCCCCCTCTCTCTGCACCTCCCCTGCTTGTGCGTGCTCTGTCTCTCAAAAAATAAATGTTAAAAAAAAAAAAATCATCCATTACCCTAAATTTAATTTGTTTTACTGGCTTTGTAGTTTTGTTTCTATTTCATTTATAAATCTACTTGCATTTTACACTTACTAAAAGCAATAAACATAAAGAATTTATGCTTATATACATCTAAAAATTAAATATTTTAATAAAACTATTTAGGCCAATACTAAGGACCTATACACTTTCTTCCCTTTAAAGAACTATAGGGGCGCCTGGGTGGCGCAGTCGGTTAAGCGTCCGACTTCAGCCAGGTCACGATCTCGCGGTCCGGGAGTTCGAGCCCCGCGTCGGGCTCTGGGCTGATGGCTCAGAGCCTGGAGCCTGTTTCCGATTCTGTGTCTCCCTCTCTCTCTGCCCCTCCCCCGTTCATGCTCTGTCTCTCTCTGTCCCAAAAATAAATAAACGTTGAAAAAAAAAATTAAAAAAAAAAAATAAAGAAGAACTATATATATGTATATTATTCATGCTTAAGACTAACATGGTGGATAAAACATGGGGATTCAAATCAGAAAGATTCATTTCCGAATGTTGGCTCTCCTAGTTGTTTAACACATAACCCCAAGCAGTAATCTCTCTAAGCCTCCATTTACTTGCAGGGTTACTATGATTTAGATGGAGCAAGAGGAAAAGAATTTTCATTTGAGTTAATAGTGTACCACATTCGATATTCTACCAAACAGTAAGGCTTAAGATCTTATCATCTTTGATGTCTCTTCATACAACTATTAATCTGTAATATACATGCATATTATACCTTTATTATGTCTCCTTCCCACTGCAACCAAGAATTGCTAAATCTTTGAAGTTTGGAACCTACTATGGTATCTTTACCTCCATCTCCTTTAACCTACAACACATTCTACAGAAAAGTTACAGAACGTATCTCTCTCGAGTGCATCTCTGAGGCTGTCACTCTCCTATTTAAAAATGTTCTGTAACTGTCAGCGTGCCTGGCTGGCTCATTTGGAGGAGCATATGACTCTTGATCTGAGGGTCATGAGTTCAAGCCCCACATGGGGTATAGAGATTACTTAAATAAAACTTTAAAAAAATTAAATTTTCTGTAACTCTCAAGGTCTTCTGCATTAAAGCTCTACCTAATCCATCCTTCCAACTTTATCTCCCATGGATTCCTAAACTGAAAGTTTCCTGAGACGATGATACTGAGGTATCCTCTATTCCTAGCACAGTATATGACATATAAAAGATATCCAATAGTAACACTTGAAATAAGCAATGAAAATCTATAATGCTCCTCTTCCCCCCAAAAAAAGACACTAGGCTATCTCCAGTAGCATAACTCTTCATCTCTTTCTAGCATACTTCTAACTAGTAATAGACAAATTGTTCTAACTGTAACAAGGTGAAAACTGGCCTTTAAAGACAATCACAAAGAATCAAAAAAGACAATGGTCCTCTGTGATTAAAAGAAAAGCCAATGAAAAAGCATTTTAATCTCCCTCCTTAATTACTTTTTAAATTCTGAGTTTTGCTACTAACTTAGCAGCTAACTGACATGTACCAAATAATTGCAACATAAAAGCTGTAAGAAAAAAACAGAACCAAATCCCGACTGGATAATACAAGAACATCAAATGATTAACAAAAAAATTCATTCACTAAAGCTTCTGAGTACCTCCACAGTTATTTCCTCCAAAAATTTTTTGGTCCCTTATTCTTCTAACGAGTGAAAGCCAAATAAATGGCTAGGCTACATACACACATGCACACAAAATATTTCTCCTCTGAACGAAACACATGATGTATGATATTGTATGTCATTGTATGACATCATCTCTTTGTAGGACACTTGGATAAGGAAAATTACTGCTAATCATAAACATTACCAGTGGGCATTTCTTAAATACTCACTTCTCTGTTCAGGCTCATATATTCAACGTCACTGAACCCAACTTTCCACTACAAAAGCTGGGAAAACTAGAGGGCCCAAATTAATGTATAAAAATTTGATTCAAATGTAACTTTTCAGTAACACTACTGGTGTATGGAAGCAGAAACACTCCTGAGGGATCTGTAGCACAATCTAAAACATACCTGGATCTTTAGGTAACCAAACAAAATTAAACTTTGGCCATCATAAAGTCAATCACTCCAATGCTCCAGCCCTTTAAACAAAGAGCTAACAAGTCCAGTATTCAGAAAAAAGCAGAGGTCTCTATTCATCTCTACCAACTTAATGTCCAGCCATCACAACTTCCTTAACAACAAAGGTAAAACTTGTGAGTCAAAATAGAACTCCCACAGCTGTATTTCCCTTGGATTATAAAATCTACATATTGTAAAATATTCCATAACTTTAGTCTCCAAATTTATGAAATGGAGGGGGGGGCAGGGAAAAACATGGATATAAAATATGACTGACAGTATCTCAATTGTTATTTGCCAAACGGCAGGGGCAAAGGGGTCACTCTATGGATGACAGAGCCATAAAAGAAAAAGACAACATTTTTAATTGTAACAAAACTGGTCCATATGTTTAAAAAATGTGAGCATCCACACCCCAACAAGTTACAGACTACGATCTAAGACACAGAGCTTAAATGCAGAATAAAATGCCTATGCTCTGCCTCCCTAAAGAAACATAGACCCCTATAAAACTGAACATCACCATACCAACACCCGCCACAGTGGATGTTTTAAATATTAAGTAAGGAAATCATGATAAGTGCTAGTGGTTCCTCTAGGCCTCAGCAGCAGCCTTAGGTATAAGAGCAAACTCGAGCCCTCTTAACACTCATAGAATAATGTTGATGTCATTACGAGGCTACTGATTCTTTGCACTCTGGACTAGTCATTCCTTGATCCACAACGCAATTCCTCCCTTACCCACCACCCCCCTAAATAATAGAGATCTCAGTGCAGAGAAGCCCTCGGATACCCCCTTCCCCTCTACCTCCAGCGGCTGCCGCTTTCTCCTCCCTCCGGCTCCGAGGTGGGGGCTCCAGAAGGTCCCGGGCAATTCCGAGCCCGGGCGGTGCTTGTTTTGCCTGTGCACGGTAGCTCCGGCCAGCCGCTTCCTTTCCCAGTCTGCCCGAACTCGAGCGCTACAGGGGACCCGGGGGCCGAGGAGGGAGCCCGGGTGGCGACGCCGCCGCCGCCTCTGGTATGTCAGGGGCCGGGATTGTATTTCGAAAGATCCGCCATTTTCACCTCGTCATCACCATCACAGCTCAGCAGCTTCCCCGACAGCCCGAGCCCGGGCCGCCGCCGCCGCCGCCGCCAGTAACCTCCCCCTTCCTCCTCCTCCCCTCCTCAGCCCTCCCCTCCGGAGAGGCGCACACCCACATATCCGGGGAAACCTCCCGCCCGCCCCGCCAACCTTCAAATGCACAGGGAGATACAAGCGCTCACACAGCCCACGCCGAGACCTTTCACCCCACAGCGAAAAATGGTGCTTCTGCGGGCCCGGCAGCTACGCGAAAGGAAGTCGCTCTACCTGCCGAGTCCCAAGTCCGGCATATTTTTGTTTTGAAGAGCAAAAGCCACACGGAAGGCGGCATAAGGACAATAAAGAATCCAAACACTTTCATTTTCAGTAAAGCAACTTGAGACAGATGAAGCAATGCGTTTTATTCACTGTGCTCATTTCAGATACTAAAAACATGATTAAGACCTTTAATGTCATTCACCGACTGACTGACGTTTTCCTCCACTTCAGCACTACTTTGACAGAGCGATTCATTTCCATATGCATGTCTTATCTCCCCGTCACATCTGTAAATTACAGGCACTGATCCTCCTGCTGATGTGGTCAAGACGACTAATTTTAAAAATAAAGTTTCAACTATTTCTCTCTTCACTTAATTTCATCTGATCATTTCTGTCCGTGTACATTGACTTCCAATTTGTCATTGGTTTAAGGCGTCAAAGCCCAAGTAGGTTTAAAATATATCGATCCTAATCAAGAATGAACAATTTCTAAAATACAGGAAACACGCCTCTAAACAAAAATTATTTGCCAAATATTAAGATCTAAGTCACTAAATTAAAAAAAAATCTGCCGCAGATATATTTGTTCAATAGAGAAAATAAACAGCTTACTTTAGAACAAGACCCCAGAGTTACCCATCTTTCCCACCAGCTACTCTCATTATGCGGATTAATAACTAAAAAAGAACGTAAGCAGTTTTTAATCATCCTAGAAATAACACAAAACCATAAGCTGCAAGGCTTGTGACAGAATTAAAAAGCAAAAACAAAAAACTAAATTGGTTACCTTTTTTATTTTCAGAAAGATTTGCTAATCGCCCATTCAGAAGCTGAATTCTAAACCCACTACTGAACTACAGTATATACTCTGAAAGATCTACCTGAAATGAGCAAACTGAATTTCAAGGTTGAGAACAGGGTCAGTCTACTGTCTTTTTTAAAAGTTAGTCTAAGTAAGGTGGAAGTTGAAAAAACCATTTCATTTCCTTACCTTTCTTGAATGACAACTCCATATAAAAGCCAGTAGATTCAGGCTTTAAACTAGTGCTATCTACCACCCAGCCCAATCGCTCTTTACCTATGCAGCCTGCTAGACTACGATGAGAGTCTCAAGTGTTCCCAGTTTCTTCGTCTTTAAACTTTATTCCCACCCCCACCTCCCGCAAGCCCCGTCCATCCGCACTGTGCTTGGTGTTTACCGTTGCTTGGCCAAGCTAAGTCCCGGCCCGCTCCCTTACCCCGTGCACCTCGGGGACATTATGACATTTAGATGGTGGGCTTCGCGAGGAAAACGGACACACACGAATAAGAGATCATACAAAGGGGCGCAGGAAGAACGGGGCGGCGGGCAGCAAGGAACGGAGAGGCTGGTACAAAATGACACAGCAGCAAAACCGGTTCCCAGAAACCCAAGGCTGACACAGTCTGCTACTCTGGCCACGCAAGGTGCGTGTCAACAGCCGCCGGAACTCTTCCTCCAGACTGCCGGGAAGGGCGGGCGGCCGCCCCTGCGCCGGCCTTGCCGGGTGACAGCCGCCCTCCGGGGTGCAGGCGGGAAGAGGCCGAGCCGGGAGGGGTCTCCCGCCCCTTGAGGCCCGGGGATGAAGCGCGGCAGCCCCGGGCGCCAGGTTCCCGCTCTCCGCCAAGACCCACCAGCCCAGGCTCCCAGAAGGGGCGGTCCGGCGCCCTCCGCCCGCTCCACCACCCGCAGTGGGGGCCGGCGCCCCCTTCCCGCCCGCCCAGATGTCCCCACCCCCAGAGCTGACACTTACCAAAGCCGGCGGCGCCGCCGCCTGCTCCTCGCGCCGCGCTCCCTAGGCTCCCAGCAGCCGCGGCGGCGGCGGCGCCTCCGAGACACAGACCCGGGTTTGTTCAAAATCACGCGCCCAGCGCCATTCCACCGCCGCATCCCATAATACGCCGGGCCCTCCCCGCCCGCGCGCCCCTCTCTGCCCGCCCCTCTACTCTACCGGCCCCGCCTCCCCGGCTGGCTTCCTTCGCCCCGCCCCTTCCGCGGCGCCTTGCCCCTCCCCTTGGCAACGCGAGCCTCGCGTCATTCCGCAAGGCGCGGGAGTACGCGCCAGCTCCACGTGACTCCTAGCGGGCGTTCCGTCAAAGCTTTCGCAGGGAAAGTTCCATCTGGCAGAGCTGGGAGGGGGAAAGCCGGGTTGCGCCTGCAGTTGAGAGACTGCTGCATCTTCTAGCTTTCCTTGTTAGGAAGTCAGTGCTGTAGGTGTGATTTCCAGCAAACTGTCACTGTTTAATGTGCTTCGGTAATCAGTATTCATAAATGTCATCTCTCGTTGTTTTTAGGCTTTAATTTTGCAGAGATTGCTAAAAAGTCCCTGGGAGACCACTCAGTTAAACTTATTTTGAAAGGGATTTTTGCAATGTGTAGCTAAGACTAACACCATCAAAATTATTGCATTTAGTCACCTTTTACTTCTTTTATTTTTCCCACTGTCCATGATTAAAAAATAAAAGACAGGGGCGCCTGGGTGGCGCAGTCGGTTAAGCGTCCGACTTCAGCCAGGTCACGATCTCGCGGTCCGTGAGTTCGAGCCCCGCGTCAGGCTCTGGGCTGATGGCTCAGAGCCTGGAGCCTGTTTCCG